GAGAGAGAGGAGAGGAGGAGGAGACGAGAGAAAGAAGAGATGAGAGAGAGTGAGAGAGAGAAGAGAGAAGACGGCGAAGCGGAGAGGAGAGGAGAGAGAGAGGGAGAGAGAGGAGAGGGAGAGAGAGAGGAGAGAAGGAGAGAGGAGAGGAAGATGAGGAGAGAGGACAGGAGGAGAGCGAGAGAAAGAGACGGAGGAGAGAGAGAGAAGAGAGGAGGAGAGAGAGATGTGGAGAGATGAGAGAGAGAGGGAGACGAAGACGGTGAGAGAGAGAGAGGGAGGGGGAGAGCGGTGGGGAGAGCGGAGATGAGAGAGGAGGGAGAGAGAGAGAGAGGAGGGGAAGGGGAAGAGAGAGAGGAGAGAGAGAGAGAGAGAGGAGAGAGAGAGGAGGATGCGAGCGAGAGGAGAGATGAGAGAGAAGACGAGAGCGCTCTTACTCATGCCGCTCTGTATATTAGATGAGCGAGTGCAGAGACGAAGAGGAGTGAGGAGGAGGAGAGAGAAGAGCGATGAGAGAGAGGAGAGAGACGAGAGAGAGAGAGAGCAGAGAGAGAGAGAGAGGGAGAGAGAGGAGAGAGAGAGAGAGAGGACGAGAGAGAGAGGGGAGAGAGGAGAGAGAGGAGCGAGAGAGAGATAGATGCGAGAGCGGAGAGCGAAGCAGGAGAGGCCGAGAGCGGAGAAGCGAGAAGAGAGGAGAGAGAGAGACGAGAGGAATGAGAGAGAGAGAGACACCGAGAGAGACGAGATTTGAGAGAGAGAGACACCGAGATTCCCGACGAGCCGAGGGGAGTAGGAGAGACGAGAGAGAGTAGAGAGCGAGGAGGAGCCTGGGGCGGATGAGCGAGAGAGGAGATAAAGGGGAGAGGAGATAGAGTGGAGAGAGAGATAGACGAGAGATGGGGGAGGGAGGGAGGAAGGGAGAGAGAGGAGAGGAACCAGAAAAGAAGAGAGAGGAGAAGAGATGAGATGGTGGGAGGGAGAGAGAGAGAGAGAGAAGGAGAGAGTAGATTAAGCAAGAGGAGGAAGCAGGCAATTGTCTGACGTTTACATGAGATGTCCACCACACATAGACGATTCTTGCCAGGAGGTGCTTTGCAGTGTTAGTGTGAGAGTTGTCGATGTTTCCAGGCATGCCGGACAATTGTGGCGCGTGAGTTGGCGGGGGCAGTACGCGCCGTCGTATACGGCCTTGCACAAGTGGGAGCGTTACGATTCGATGCCGCTCTCAAGTCGTGCGTGCCACCTGTTTTTCACGAGAAACATTGGAAATGACTTGCGCCTATAGAATTCTTCTTACTGCAGGTAAGAACAAACGTTGTGTTTATATTATCTCTCTTAGAATATTGAAATTTATAAAATATTGAATAAAAAAAATGGTCTTGCACGTAACAATCAGTTCTGTCAACGGCGGTCAATAGAATGGCGCCACGTCACGCACATCCTGATCTGCTGCCGCCAGGACCTTCGAGACACGAGCGGGTCGTGTCGTCCTGCCGGATCTCGTGATCGATCACTTCGTACGGGACGGCCCCACGGACTCCTGCTGTGGCTGTTATCATGGAACGCATGCAATGCCGATCTTATCTCGGCCGATCAAGATGGGCCTCGCATTGGCATCAGCCGCCTACAGTGCGTTGGATGTCATCGAGGGAATCCGCCTTCCTTCACAGCCAGGGTCTCGTTCACGGAGACATCAAACTCACACAGGAACGCGTTGCTGGTGAGAGAGAGAACGTGATCTTATGCTGGTCATATCACTACTAATAAACACTAATGATATCCTTATAATATATAGCCTTAATCTTATCATAAACCTACCCGTATCCAGTGTCATTTCACTCTTATGTTTGCCCTATGAAAGACCCTAACCCTATCAGGAGTGTATGATGTAGATATACACTATATTGTACACTCCTAACCCTATCACTAACCCTACCACTCCTCCTAACTTTTATATTGTCCTATGACAGACCCTAACCCTATCGCCACTACTATCGCTCACCCTAACCCTATCGCCACACTTATCGCGCTCACCCTAACCCTATCACCACCACTATCGCTCACCCTAACCCTATCACCACCACTATCGCTCACCCTAACCCTAACCCTAACATTACACTATTACAGACATTAACCTCCTCTCTCTCCCTTCCCCACCTCCTTCCACAGCTGGACTCGCGGCAGCGCGCTAAGATCACAGACCTGGGTTTCTGTAAGCCCGAGGCGATGATGTCAGGCAGCATTGTCGGCACGCCGATCCACATGGCCCCGGAGCTGTTCACCGGTCGCTACGACTCCAGCGTTGACGTCTACGCGTTCGGCATCCTGTTCTGGTACATCTGCGCCGGTCACGTGAAGCTGCCGATGTCGTTCGAACAATGCACCAGCAAGGACCATCTGCTGCGAGCGCGTGCGCAAGGGTGAGGGCTGGGAGGGGGCGTCACGTGTCGCGAACGGGGGTGGGGAGGGTGGCCGCCACGTGTCGCACGGGGTGGCGAGTCAGGGGGCACACTGTTTGATATGTTTAGCAGCATACATCATTACGTGGATATTATATTATATATATTATATATATATATATATGTATGTCTGTAATATTATATATATATATATATATATATATATGTCTGTATATTATATATATATATATATTATGTCTATAATATATTATATATATATATATATGTCTGTATATATTAATTTATATGTCTCATATATATATATATAATATATATATATATATATATATTATATATGTACATTATATATGTTATAATGGTAATAGCAAATATAATAGTATATTATAGTGTGTACGTTGTTCGCGGTTTGGTGAATGAATCGTAATTACTATCAGCTTATTAATTATCGAAACCGTTTATTATTATAGAAAGCGTTTAATACATGAACTTATTAATTATAGAAACCGTGATTCCGTGACGATGTACGCCAGGGTCGCGACCTCCCGAACTCAGCTGCTCTTGTGTTTCAGGCATGCGGCCGGAGCGACCGAGCAATTGTGACGACGAGTGCTGGCGCACGAGGTGGCCTGCGATGCTGGGGTACGGGCCGCCCGCGGCTGCCACCCTGCTGGGGGACGTCGACACTAAGCTGGTGGAGATAATGCGGCACTACCGCGCGGCGGCGCGCGTGCAGACGGACAACGAATCGCGAGCGTCGGACGGAGGAGGCGGCGGCCGGACCTCCAGCTCCGGCTCCCCCTGACCGAGCCTTCCCTCGAGGAGGATGGGGATCCTCCCCCCCCCCCTCCTACGCACATTCCCTCCCTGCCCCTCGCGGGAGGCTTCCCACACGCCTCACACCGCCGGGATCGCGTGATCGAACGATGTATCGTAGATTCGGAACGTTGTACGTTTGTCGAAGCGAGTGTGGAGAGAGAGAGAGACAGAGAGAGAGAGAGACAGAGAGAGAGAGAGACAGAGACAGGACAGGACGACGAGAGATGGAGTCTGGCTTAGTGTAAGTCTGTTGCCGCTCGATATTATATATATATTACCAGGACTCCAGGAGTGAATAATAGAGATTACTCACTCTATTATTCTCTATTATTAACTCCTGATATTATATATGTGTAATGTAACGCCTGTAGAGAGCGAGTCGCTTCTCACATAGGTTGTAACAATGGCGCGTGTATCGCACGAGATGTTAGTCTTATCCTGGTAGACACATCCATCAGTACCAGTACGTAGTGTGCGTATATGCTCGCGCTTACACACGCGGCCAAAAAATCCAATCATTCAGGGCACTTTTTAATACCATTTTGTAAAATAAGAAAGTCGATTAGTTTTGTGATGAACAGTAACAGGTAAGTAGCTACACTTTTAGTAGCCGCACACGTTTAAACGAAACAGAAGCTGTGAAACTGTATTTTTCGTCGACCGCAGCGTGTACATAGACGCAAGTAGTTAATGTCATGATTTCTAATGTCGTGCGTCACAGCCGGATAGAGAATGTAACTATATTATGTGTGATTATCCAGGTATGATGTAACCTGATCGCGCGAACGCTGGCAGATGTGGCCAGCCAGTCTTCATAAGTACGCTTGCTTGCTACTTCACATGTAAACCCACTTGTACATAGAGAGAGATGATGAGCAAGAGAGTGACAGGCCTAGTGAGTAAACTATAGGAGACTTGGCGTGAAGAACGATCTCGGTGTGAAGTCTGTGGATCAGACGTTGCCATTGGTTGTCTCCGATATATTTTCACATGTACATTGCTGGTAGCAATGGAAAACGAGCTTATACCTTTAATATACGAAATTAACAGTGATTTCGGCGTTGAATTTTAAATTTGTCGTTTGTCGTAGAAAGACGTGGAACACAAAGTTATATCTACACAAAATGATTTTATTTAACAATATTTTGACTTTTCCCATATATGCTTTCTGACAGGCAAATCGTATTTGTATAACAACATGACGCTCAGTTAAGTGAATAATAAAAACTTCTAGAGTTGCATTACACGAATCTCTCCATTACACGAATCTCTCCACTACAATCTAGACTCGACTTGCAAACTATGTAAATTTGATATCAATAACGGTAATCCTTGGTGATAAATTAGTGATGAATTTACGAAGACTGTCGATTGCAAAGAATTCGAAAGCAGTCGCGGGTTTTCCGCTCGCACGAATAGCAGTTGTATGGTGAGCGTTCGTGCGTTCGTTCATGCCGGACAGGAGAACATGCCGTAGGCTGGGAGAGAACAAGTGTCGTGCATGCATCAACTAGACAACGCCCGCGTGGGCTACGACTGCGTGGTTTTCGACTGCGGCGGCACCCACTGCTCTATCTTCGGTTTCGTCGTCTTGTATCCGACGTAGGCGCCCGGCGTCCCCGCCTGATTCTCTGTGTGATCCATCAGCCACGGATGCTCAACAAGTGGTGCCGCAGTCGGCGGCGTGTCGCCTATGTTATGCATCCACCTGTGCCTACACGGGACGGAAGAATAGGAGCGTGGTCGAGACTAGAAGCGTGAGAGAGCGAGTGCGATTAACAACATGCGCCTAGAGCAAATAAATAGCGTCTTAAATAACGTGAATAAACTGCAACCAGCGGCGAGTGAGTTTGCGGCCTAGTCTAATGCAAATAAATAATCGCAGCGGACGATGAGATGGTGAGCGGACCGGACGGATCTCCGACAGCAGTTTGTACGGACGCTCGTCGTCTCGCCTGAAAGCGCGCGTAATGACGCGATCTCGCGTGATCTCGCGTTTCGACGCCGAAACGTCGGCAACGAACGACGAAATCCCCGAGTCGCGTCGTCACGCGACGAGGTGTTATTAGACGTTAATGGACTGAAATGAAACGCACGAGCCGGCGACGAGCGTCGTTCCGTGACAGAGAGCAACGACGTGCATTCGGGGGCGGCGTGTCGACTGCAGCCATGCAAGCAGACCGTACGAGTGAGAGATGGGGGACGATGACTCACAGCAGATGCAGTCTGCGAGAGAGAGAGGTTAACGACGCATGCATGATTACAGCGTGGCGACGCAGCCATGCGCTCGAGAGACATGCGCGGCGTAGCAGGAGTGACCCTAACCCCCGTCCAACCCCGTGTTCACTGCCTGCGTGCGTTACATTTACACTGCCAAGACAAAGCAGCCCATCATCACCACCTACATGAATGTTCCACACCGCTCTGGCAGCCAAGATCTGGGACAGGATTATGATTAGTGAGCTCGCGGTTAAAGCAGCTAGAACGTGAATGGCGTATATATAAAGAGCGACTGTTGGGCGCACCGCCCGCGTCACTGAGCTTTCGACTGCGGAGGTTTCCACGCTTCCACTTTCGGGCGGGTCGTACTGAACGGAACGAAACCCTTAGCGGTGCCCGAAAAGTTTTCCTCGTGGTCCAAGAACCAGTCGCGCTGTGTGCACGGAGTCACGCTGGGAGGGCTGTCGGTCGAGTAGTGCAACCACCTGTGCCTAGAGGAAGGTAAAACGCACGCGGCGTCCATCACAACATCCGCAAAACGGAAATCGCCGACACGTTCAGCGGCGAGACAGAGGACGAAGTGAGATAATCGCCGCTAAACTGTTGATCTGTCTATCTGATCAACTTTGTCTCTTTCGTCTTCTCGTCCCTTGGACTTTGAAGACTATTATTTACGAGGTTACAAGGTTAAATGTGCAGCGTTCGTTTCCGCATGTTACCAACGCATGCATCCAAAGATTAGAGAATAGAGAAGACAGACGCTAGAAGATGCTGCTGAAGAAGAAGATGCTGTTAAGTCGGGAGACGACTCAACGAGACGTTACGGTAACGCGCGACGTGTAACGGAATGTCGTAGCGACAGATTTATATACCAGTCGGATGGGATCTGGCTTCCGTCGTAGTCCATGCCATACTGCGGTGCGTACTGAATCCATCTGTTCCTGCCTGTCAACGGGAAAGACGCGATCATGAACACGATCGATTGTGCAATCACAATACATGAATAACAAAACACATCCAGATGAGACGGGATACTAGAGAAGCGTTGCAGAAAGGAGGTGTTGATCCCAAGCGCTATAAGCGCAGATCTTGCGCGCATCATATAATGCATAATATATAATCATATATAGCGCAGATGCGGTCATACAATGCATAATATTACGTATTGCGAGACTGTAGGCATAGACTTGTAGGTTTAATCGTACAACCACCACCTTAGACTATATCCCAGCTTCAATCAACATTAATTACCAATTACTAATACTAATAGTAATACTACTACTAGCAGCCTTCTCTAAGGCATTGGGCAATCCTTCTCGTCTCCTTACCGACGAAGAAGAGGTTATTTTCGTAGTACTTGTTGCCGTATTTGTCGGCCCCTACGTAAGTCCCCACCTTCAACTCCTCGGTCCTGCAACGAAATCGCAGGATAAGATCAGATTAAATTACTCAATGTTATTTTTATTTTAGGGCCCAATCGAATCGTATATTTACATGATTCATATATTGCCAACAAATGCATAATAAACAACAACATCGGATATATATAAAATGCAGCCAAGGACATTAAAGCTTTCACAACTGCTTCAGAGAAATACCAATAGAGTTGCTTCAGGGAACCAAGCATTCCACCGTGTTGTTTAAATGCTTGGCGAAAATGCCGAAGTTTCTCCAAGTACGTCGCCATTGCTACTTGAAGAACGCAGTCAACGCACAACAGCCTAACTCGGTTTTCTATTCGTCGATATTATGAATAATTCTACTTAAATAAATACTTTCTAATTCTGATAGAAACTTTAAGGTTTTAATTATGCAGCAATTTAATTAAAGTTTCTTTCCACACATAAAATATCGAAAACACTAATTTCTCCCGATACGGCGATAGATGACGGAGTGCCAAACGGTTGACTCCGCGGCGCAACATTATTTCCTCTATTATCAACACGTTTCTTTGCAATCATTTTCATACAACATTGTATATTTGTTATATTATACGGTATTCTTATAGAATAATTCTATTGATACTTGAATTTTCAAAATGGTGAAGCAGTTCTTCAGTAAGTAATGTTCTGAGGCCGCTAAGGCATAAGTTTGACCGTGTGATCAAGTGATGAAGTACTATGTTACTGTTGCCTGTTGGTATTCACTTCAGGCAATCTTACTTATTATCAGTAATAGTATTCTTACTCACCGAGTAGTGTCTATGTCTATGATATGCTTTGTTTGATGGACATAATGATGATATGATTAATATGATATACATATATATGCAGTATGAACGTAATACTATTAACTACTTATTATCAAAATCTGTTTCAGAAAAGAAGAGCAAGCGGCAGTCTTGTAAAATAAAGTACAAGATTGAAAAAAAGGTTATTACTATTAGTTAGATTCCTGATGTTTAGAGATCTGTATCTTCATTTAATAATAGTATGTAATCTAGGTGTTGGCTTTCCATAACCTTCAACATCCAGTGACATCTCAGTATTACGATAAAGGCGGTTTAGAACTATTATTTATTAGTATTATTCAAACACTTTGTTCAGTTACTCTCCTAACGTACACATATACTAAATTATGTTTACAGTATTACGCGCGAATATTCTATTAGAACACGTTTAATTTATTATTTTTTCTACTCCAATGACAGTTGTCTGCGTATACTTTATAATTTTTCCAGGGGATGGCTGACTAGATGACCGTATGGTCTTTTCGTCATCCCTTCACTGTATTGTTTATTATTCGCTTGGTTAAAATTGTTTTACCTTATTGAAAGCGATAAATAAAACTGTTATATCTTATCATATCTTAGAACTTAATTGGTATAACTTACCATCCCGCGTAGGGACCGTTCACACCGTGCTGGTCTGAGGGTATTATTATTATTGTCAGCTTCTTGTTTATTATAGGTCAGGGAGCATGACCGCAAGCAAAAGAAGGAAGCCAAAAAACGCCCGAAACCAACAAAAAGTATCATGCTTAATTATAATTTTAATTAATTAATGCTTAATTGTATAATATTATTTTATTTTCACTATATAATCGATATAATAAAAACTCGTTGCATGTGTAACTACATAATTATTTCACGAAATTTATTTCTGATAGAGTAATCCTTGTATTTTCGTGATGGCTTGCAGGAAAAAAGAGCATAGTCGCAGCTGTCCCTAACAAGGCACCCTTTAAAGATATCGTCATAAAGGAAGCAGAACAGCGAAAGATAAAGAAAGACGAAGAGCGTGCGAAGGCAAAGCTGAGGAGGAAGGATGCCAAACAGAAGGAAGTTAATAAGAAGAGAAATCTCGACGGCCTGCAGAAAGATGCGCAGAACAGAGCGACGGAGTTCGAAGAAAAGGTAAACACGAATATGTAATAATTATTCTAACAACCTGTTCTAGTTATAGAAGTATAGAACAGTAGAAGTAAGAAAAGTAAAATGTAAGAAATCAGAAACTCAAAATCTAAACAACATCTAAGTATCTCGCAAACCTATCGTCATAGCAATGGCTAGTTTAAGTCATATTTTTATTGTAATTCCGGCAAATAACGGCCGAGGCAGGTATAAGAAACCAGCAAGGCGTATCACGTACAAGGTTAAACATTGACAGTAAGATCTTCGCGTGTCTATAACAGAAGCAGCGTGAGGCGGCGGCCGGCGGCGACGCGGCGGCAGGGGCGGCGCGGGACGGCTCGCTGAAGGCTTACTACCGGGAGTTCCGTAAGGTGGTGGAGATGGCCGACGTCGTACTGCAGGTGCTGGACGCGCGAGATCCGATTGGCAGCCGCTGCTACGACGTCGAGAGCGCCGTCCTGTCCGCCGGCACCGACAAGAAACTCGTCCTCGTGCTGAACAAGATCGGTGAGTCCGCACGCGAGTTATCGCGCGTCGGAGTACTAATCCAGGGGTTGAAATTATGGGCAGCAGGCATCAGTTTTGCTTCGGGGATGGCAGCATGGCATGTCGGACACAGGAGGCCATGTGAGGATGGGGAAGGGTTCGAGTTTAAGGACAGCAGGCATCAGTTTGGCTGCTCACAATGGGGGCAGTTTGCCGCTTGCTCTCAATATCGACATCAAGTATCTGCTGCTGAGAGATTCCTTATAACCCATAGTAAAAGTACCAAAGATTCTGTCCACGTGAGTAAATTTGCTGATTACTCTTTTCTCTGACAACAACTAGGTGCTGCCTCGTGAAAAAAAGTTCTCTCTAAACCCTGGTATCATCTCTGGGTCGTCATTATGCGGCGTTCGCTACTCTCGTCGTTTCGTACTCGCGTACTCTCGCGATGCGTGTCCGATTTCAATCCGATCGCGTTTCAGATTTGGTGCCGAGAGAGATCGTTACAAAGTGGCTGCAGTACCTGAGAAATGAGTTTCCTACCATCGCCTTCAAAGCTTCAACACAGAACCAACGTCAGGGTTTGGTGAGTTATCTGAGAGCGGATGTTAAATTACTACAGATAACTATTCGTTTCGCGAGGATCTAAGGTATACTATGTACAGTACCGAGTCATGATTCTGGAAACGAGGACGGACAGACGAAGCGATACGATTACTGAAAGACTCGCAAGTTTGCGAATATCGTTCCTGACGAAAAACTGCCTGTATAATTCCGCTGATGATTTCGTGCAGAATGTTGTGATACATCTGCCGCACGTTACTCAGCCAGCAATGCTCAGCGGGAAACCTTGTTTAGTCGAGCGGTTTCCCCTCGTTAGTCGCATGCGGTTGACGACAGTTTTTTCCTCGTTAGTTGCACGCGGTTAACGAGCGTTTTCTTCTCTCGTTAGTATCAGGTAAAGGTTAACGAGCATTTTCTTCTCTCGTTAGTCTCAGGTGAAGGTTAAACGAGCATTTTTTTCTCTCGTTAGTCTCAGGTGAAGGTTAACGAGCGTTTTCTCCTCTCGTTAGTCTCAGGTGAAGGTGAAGGTGGCGACAGCGAGTGATGGCTTGCTGCAGTCAGGTCGCTGTGTGGGAGCCGACCTCCTCATGAAGCTCCTCGGCAACTACTGCAAGAGTCACGACATCCGTGTCGCCATCCGCGTCGGCGTCGTCGGTGAGCGCCCTCTATAATCACTTAATTAACGCAAGCGTTTGCGACAAAATGTTCGCTGTCGTTGTCGTCGGTGAGCGCCCTCTATAATCGCTTAATTAACGCAAGCGTTTGCGACAAAATGTTCGCTGTCGGTGAGCGCCCTCTATAATCACTTAATTAACGCAAGCGTTTGCGATATGTCTGCTGTGGTCTCCATGCGACGTCTGTAGTCGCTCTCGCTCTGATTCGTGTGTAAAGTGAGTCGATCTAAATGCTGGCTGTATGCACTCTTGGGTTTGGACACGCGAACCAGCACTAGAAACACGAATACGAAAAAGAATCCACAAATCTCTTTGTTGTCGAGGCCACAGAAATACTCACACTCGTGCGATATGCGTTGATGCATCTGCGTTAGTGAAATCAACGCACACGTGTCGATTAGTTCGATGTTAGATTCGCAGGAGTGACGGAACAGAACGACATCGTGGGTCTAATGCAGATGTTTTCGTCACGCGCAGGTCTTCCCAACGTTGGTAAGAGCAGCATCATCAACAGCCTGAAGAGAGGCAAGGCATGCAGCGTGGGTGCCACGCCCGGCGTCACAAAGTAAGTGCCTGCATCAGGGATGCCAACCACTACGATTTATCCGTATTTTATACGAATTTCTATTCCTTTTGCACCACTACGACCAGTTTGTATCAAACTACGAATTTCACTGTGATCTTTTTTTTTTGTCAATTATTGTCATATTTGACTCTCAGAATGCAGAAAATTGCATCTCAGAATCAAAAAATTTTCCGGGGGGCATGCCGGACCCGCCTAGCAAACTCGGGTCACTACTTGACCCTCGAACTACTAATTTGATGGTCAGAAACTACAGATGGCTTCAAATATTTGTTGGCATCTCTGCTGCATACTGAAACTAGCATTCTGCTAAAGGTGAGAGGTTTCCGTTGTGTACATAGACAGCATGAACTGGAATATGCGGATAAAACAGAGACTAATCACGGAAATGGTGCAAAACGAACGGAGAGCCGCGGAATATTACGGAGCTCATTACAGTCCGATACACCGATTCCTACGTATCAACTATGGACTTCTCATGGACTGCCATCTAATCTCGGCGAGTCTGTGTTTATTATGTACGTATATCACGCGTATGTTTCTCTCCCTCACGCAGGACCATGCAGCTGGTGCAGCTGGACAAGCACATCTCGCTGCTAGACTCGCCCGGCATCGTGATGCCTGGAGGAGGCGGTGACGACGCGGCGTTACGTAACTGTGTGAAGCTGGAGAGCGTTAGCGACCCGCTGCCTCCCGTCGCCATGATACTACGTCGCTGCAGCAAACAGAACGTGAGCGGGGCGGGGGTGAGGGGACGGGCGGAGGGGGGGGAGGCGGCGGCGACGACGCGGCGTTACGTAACTGTGTGAAGCTGGAGAGCGTTAGCGACCCGCTGCCTCCCGTCGCCATGATACTACGTCGCTGCAGCAAACAGAACGTGAGCGGGGCGGGGGTGAGGGTGAGGGGGAGGGGTGAGGGGGGCGGGACCAGAACCATAGTAGAATCATGGATTTAAGTTTGCACATCAGTTGATCATTCGATTAAATAATATTATCGTTACTTGTAATTGCTTCAAAATTGCTATTTAAACCCAAGAACTTGTATCACGATACAGGAAGGGTGTCATGGTGTGTCATCAGTGCGTCACGGCATTGCAGTAGATGTACAGTGACAGCAACTCTGTGATTGTTGTCTTCTGCGGTCGAATCGTCGGCTGCACTCCAAAAGTTGTGCGCAAGTGTGTCAGGAGTCCGTGTGTGGTTGAGTCAGTGTCTTTCTTGCTCCTGTTTCAGTTGATGCTTCACTACAGAATTCCAGACTATGCTGATCTGAATGAGTTTCTTGCTCTGATGGCCAAGCGGACGGGACGGTTGAAGAAAGGTGGAATACCAGACGTAAACAAAGCTGCGCGAATCGTACTGCAGGACTGGAACAGGTGAGAAAGACGTGATCTGTGTATATGCGTGTGTTCTTGCTCTCCCTCTCTCTCTCTCTCTCTCTCTCTTTCTACCTCTATCTACCTCTCTCCTTCTCTCTCTTCCCCTTCTCGCTCCCTCTCCCTCTCCTTACCCCTCTCTCTCTCTCGCTCTCTCTCTCTCTCCCTCTCCTTACCCCTCTCTCTCTCGCTCTCTCTCTCTCTCCCTCTCCTTACCCCTCTTTCTCTCGCTCTCTCTCTCTCCCTCCCTCCCTCTGGTTCTCTATACTTCTTTCTCTTCTCTCTACTCTAGTGGGAAGATAACATTCTACACACATCCCCCGGAGCAGCACTCGTTACCGACACACGTTAGCGCCGAGATCGTAACCAGCATGGCTGGATCGTTCGACATCGCCGCACTGCAGAAGGAAGAAGAGACTGTCTTGAAAGGTAACAGCAGCTGTCATTGTTGTTGTTGTTGTTGTTGTTGTTGTTGTTGATGTTGTTGTTGTTGTTGTTGTTGAGGTATTAGCGCTATCATACTGCTGTTGTTGCATTATCGTACATTATACATATATGTACAGTTATACATTAAACCTAAAATTAAAATTATAAATAATAAATTCGTATGTGTGTGTGCTGCATGAATATTCAGTAGCATACTGAAACCCTATATATATATATATATATATATATATAATATATCCATATACATATGTGTGTATATATATATATATATGTAATATATATATATTATATATATATTACTGTTCATTTGTTTGCAGGTTTGAAACCGCTCTGTAGTCCTACCGACATGATCGTTGAGACGTCAGGACCTGTTACTGCCTCCCTCGAAGAAATGGAAGCAGAAGGTGATTCAGGGACGAAAGGGGAAAGTGAAGAGGAGGACGATGAACTGGAGGAGGAAGAAGAGGACGATGAAAACAGTGACATGGAGGACGACGGTGAACAAAATGTAAGTACAAACATCTTCATTTTGAGCGCGGAAACACGAAATTTTTATTTTATTTATTGATACAACTAAAGTTCTAGTGGCAATGTCTTGCAACATTGGAGCAAACTACGGGGGATTTCTATTGTCTTCCAGGATGAAAAAAAGATAACATGACAGTTGAACTGAAAACGAAAAAGAAAGCGAAAATCACAGCGCGCCATTAAGAGTGTGTTAGAGGATAAGAAGCGGCGGCTGCTGAAAGAGAGGCTCTGTTGCCTGCAACCTTCAAGCAAAACAAGACATTGAAAAAGGCTTTTAAGAAAAAGCAGAAACTACATAAAGAAGAGCGGTACGTCCAGATAACATGGAGTTATTCGTTCATGATCTTATTAACAATGTTTAAAGCATGTAGTTATTTCCGTTCATGATTATACTTGTTTAATCATGGATTATTGGTTCTATTTATAGCAGTTAAACATGTAGTTTATGTTCGTTTCAGTATTGTATACTTGTTTACATGAGTATTCGGTTCAGTATGTTATAACTGTAAACATTGTAGTTATTCGTTCATATTTGATACTTGGTTAACATGGAGGTATGTTGGTGCATATTTATACTTGTTTTAACATGTCAGTTTATTCGTCCATATTATAACTTGTTTAACATGGAGGTATTTGTTCACTATGTTTATACTTGTTTAACATGGAGTTATTGGTCATATTATACTTGTTTAACATGGACGTAATTGTCATATTTATACTTGTTTAACCATTGGCAGGTATTGGTTCATATTTATACTTGGTTTAACATGCAGAGGATTGTTCATATTTAATACTTTTATATACTGTCATGATTTAGACTTTATTACTGTTTATAGACGTAATATATCCCTTTAGTTGTCTCGTATTCAGACTTTTCGCCGATATTTTTTATTGGCAGTGTTATAACGGCAGTGCGATTGGCAAGATCGATCTAGCTGATATGATCGACAGTGACATCATAGTGGTGGCAATGATGAACTATGATTTGGAACAGACTTTCAATGTAGTCAAGGAAAGAAATTGGCTGGCGAGAATATTCTTGTACGAGAGCAAAATTTAAATAAAAGGTAGATTAGGAGTAGCACCTCGTATATTGTTGAATATAATAGCAAACAGTGTGTTTTAAACTTCGCACAAAAGTCACGGAAGACTCGAGTTAACCAACACATATATTATTAAATCAGTTAATGTATCCAATATATCGTTGCAATGTGATCTATGCAATCACATGGTGATTCTCTATCTTACACGCAAAGAGAATATGGTCAGGATTAAGAACAATTACAGATTAATTGGATTTGTCAACTCTTCACGTACGGTTTCTGCGAAAACCGAAAACCTTACACCGAATCCTACACCGAAACCCAAATGTCCGTTTACAACGCCACTTTACTCCGTAAATATTCTGCTCTAGTTTTAGGCTAATTGGCCAATACAACACACTCATTCGTCGTGCCCTCCTCTCGTATAGTTTGTAGTGTAACATAAGTTCTTGCTTCAAATTAAGAAAAAATTCCTCCATTCCTTAAATTAATTAATTCGGAGATCCATATAGAATTCATGTAATCGCGGGCCGGCGAGTTCGCCAATTGATGCTGGCTTGGCTGTAACCTTTGCGATTCGCGAAAAGCGAAGGAGATCGTGGGCAAACAAACCGCCTCCTTCCCGGCACGACCCGCACGCAGTCCACCCACTGGGAACCCCTCCCCTCCCATGTTAGACACACATGCCCGCAGATCGTTCAGTAACAACACGACATGGGAAGCTATGCTACGTCGCCTCGCTTTACGGAGTAAGATAACGTCGCCCGTGGTTTACTGACAACGAAGATTTTTTCAGCCTCTGGCGACGCCAATAAAGAGAACATCTATGCGCGAATCAGCAGACGACACGATAACGAGCAGACAGCAAGCTAAACTGAAGTCAGGGGTCCAAAGGTCAAAAGCCGCAGCGCGAACGCGAACGTCGCCACGGACATCCACTACGAGAACATCGAACATCGCCACGGGGAACATTGCGAACATTCCATGCAGAAACATTCTGAAGCATGCCGCGAAATTGCGAAACCACCCGGTCGGCGTGGAAGTTTTCATCTATATAAATATTTGCATGTCCGAGCCGACCACATGACGCCTACACAGGCGCACACAGATGACCCTACACACGTGTGGCAGTGCAAGGCGGGACTCGTGGCAGTCCCAACTGCGTTTCTCTCGACGAGGACCGGAGTTCCGTTCCCGCGGGGGAACAACCAGGGTCGAATGCGTTCGGCAAGGACGTTGGCCCGTGGCGACCCGAACGCGCAGCGGCCCGAGACTGCAGAATTTTAGTGGCTGGAGATAAAAAATTAAATTAATTAAGAATTGAGGCGTTCCTTCAATCATCGGTATATCACATCCGAGCCTCTACTCTCTCTCTCCATCTGCTCTCTCTCTCTTCTCTATTCTCTCTCCATCACCGCATCTACGAAATCACACATGCCGAAATCTCCTCTAAATTAAATGTTTCGATAAACCAACATATAATATAATTTTATGGTATAATATGTAGGTACGCGGCCCTAACCTCGAAAAGACCACATGCCCACTGAGCCACTTCACGGGCAAGCATAACAATTAATTTGATTCCATTAATTGCGATAAACTGAGAACCTGGCACTTACAGACGTCATATAAACAAGCGAGCATTGCACGTCGAAGTGGCCTTAGTGGCTGCAGCAAGGGAAAAATCCAGTATAACCAGCCCTCATCCAGGGCAACCATACCCCCTCACCCCGGCTATGCGCACAGCACCCCTCACCCCCGGGTACCATACACCAGGCAACCCCTGGCTTCTAG